CAACATACCCCGGTATGTATACAAATTATATGTCAGTTATCGTACAAAAATTAAGTTTCATTATAAATTTTATGTTTTATTATTAAAATTATATATATTCTTGTATCTTATGAAAAAAATTTAACAAAACAACAAAATTAAGTTTCAAATACAGAGTCATGTGTCTTTATTCATAAATTTGAATGTGATATATTTGTGGACCCTGTAACATTAACAAATATGATCCGATTTTGAGAAATATATTTTTTTTAGTAAAGTAAGATTATGCTGATTATAATAATTTTATTCTCGTATAAACAAAAATATTTTTTTTAATTTTAATTTTTGCAATCGTTTTTGCAAAAAAGGTTAATATTTACGAAAGCAAAAGCAATTTCTTTAATGCTCATCGATTTTATACGCCTTAATAAATAATATATAAAAAGTTTTGTTCAATTATCTTTCCCGGTCACTGAGTAATAGCTTCTTGAAATCAAAATTTTACAAAGTCAAATTCTGCATAATGTACATTATATATATGAAGGCGTTTTTCTTTAGAATTTTTGCATATGATATTTTTGTTAATAGGAAAGCAATAAGAAAACTTTAAAAGAAATTGCTAAAATTTAATGGTTTATGATCAAAAGCTATATATACAGACGTTTTATTAAATTAGTTTTAATAATTATCTGAATTATACACTAGAAATGTAGAAAAAGATGAAATAGCCATATAAATTGTATGACATACCCGGGTATGTTGGGTATTGATGTACGTAATTTTGCTCGGGTATAGACAAGACGGTTAAACTTAAATGCCCAAGCAAAAATACATGTTTCATATGCAAAAAAAAATCACCATACTTCCCTTTACTTAGTTAAACCTAATAACAATCAAAATTCTTCAAACAATTTCCAATCATCTGGTAGTTTATTAATTGAGAACCTAACAACCATGAAAATATCTCTCCTTCACATCACCTTATAAGATAACTCAAGAATCTCAAGTTCATTCAAATGTGTCGATCGATAGTAATTCAATATTGCTTCGAACTGCTTTAGTTCATATTGAATATGTGGGCCAACTATTCATGGTAAGAGCTCTAATAGACCCAGCATCTACAAGGTCATTTTTATCTCAAAGAATTGTGCAGCTACTCAAAATTCCTACTCAAAAATCCTACTACGATGTTTCAGGTGTTGCTTGCATGTCCCATTCTGCTACTAAGGAATGTAATTTCCTCTTGTATTCCAAAAAATGCAACTTCAGATTTCCAGTTGATGCTATAATCTTACCAAAGATAACAAAACCCATACCTTCTATATCATTTGATCTTCCTCATTCTTCTGATTTATCAAATCTCGATTTAGCGAATCCTACATTTAACAAATCGACCTTATGCTAGGAAACAATTGCGAATGATTCATAAATATGGATGGCATTAAAAAAAATGTTTGTGGCCAAGCTACCACGTATAACACTGTATTCGGTTGGGTCTTAAGTGGCCCGATTATCCAACCTGTTAGAATATTTACAACCAATCTGGTCCCCTCAGAAACGTCAATTCTCAATAACTTTTTGGGAGCAGGAAGAAATTCCAACCGTTTATTCCATGTCAATTGAAGATCAACATTGAGAAGATTTTTACAAACAAAACACAATTCGGGACTCAAGTGGGAGATATGTCGTAAGACTGCCCTTTAGAAAATAATTCCCAAATACTACCTTCTTAGGATCTTCCCGTATATTGGCTCTAGGTCAGTTTTCCCGAAGAAAGACCTTATCAAAGAATAATTTTTCAAAATGAAGATAACGGCCCATTTCAAGACTTTCAGATAAAAACGGTCACATATGGAGTTAACTGTGCTCCATTTCTATTAGAACACTCCTACAACTCGCTTCAGATTCAGAATTACTATTCCCCAAGGCTGCTAATATTTTGCGAACCCAAACGTATCTTGATGACATATTATCAGGCGGTTATACAATTAATGAAACTCCTTAAGCTCAAACCGAATTAATAACCACACTGAAATCCGCAGGATTCCACTTAAAAAAGCTCAGGGCCAATAATAGCCAACTTCTAACACATTTACCTCAAGATTCCAATTTTCTATGTTTTTACGAAAGTAGCTCAACAAGAACTCTCGGAATTAAGTGCGCTTACCGATTCCTTCACTTACTCTTTCACTCCAATTTCTTAATCCTCTTAAGTTACTAAACGTATAATTCTTTCGGCAGTAGCAAAGTTATTCAACCCAGATGGTTGGCTAACTCCTGTAATTATAAGAGCCAAAATGTTGATGCAGCATTTATGGCTAGAGGGTTTAGACTGGAATGACGATGTAAGTTTAGATTCACTTTCAATGTGGAATAATCTTGTTTCTGATCTTTCCAATGTAGACAAAATTACAATACCAAGATTGATTCAATACGAACTTTTAGATCATATTCAAATTTACGGGTTTTGCGATGCTTCAAAATCTGCATACGGTGCTGCAGTTTATATAAGAAGTCAAAGATCAAACTTTATAGTATATTCAAAATTATTAGTGGCAAAGAGCAAAGTAGCTCCCCTTAAAACAATTTGCTTACCTCGTTTAGAACTTAACGGAGCTGTATTGCTCGCAAATTAATCAATTATGTCATCAAATCTCTTAGCTTTGAAGATACAGAAACTATACTATGAACCGATTCGCAATAGTGCTAGGATGGTTGTCTAAACCTTATGTGGCGAACCAAACATCGCAAATACATAATCTACTACCAAAAGCTACTTGGCATCATGTGCCAACTCATAACAACTCCGAAGATCTGGGCACTCGAGGTTGTCGACCCCAAGATCTAACAACTAACCCTTTATGGTTTACAAGTCAACAATCTCAATGGCCAGCACGAAACCCCTTAAAAACCCTAAAACTAGAGTTCAAAGTTTGCACATATCAGCTGAAAATTATGATATATTAGATAATTTCTCATCATATCAAAGAGAGAGGGTAATAAGTAATATTTTCAGATTTTTTAATAAAAGCCTATCCAAACGTAAAACATATACTGGCTACTCTTCAACCACTCTTTGAGAGTAATAAGTTATATTTCCAGATTTTTTAATAAAAGCCTATCCAAACGTAAAACATATACTGGCTACTCTTCAACCACTCTTACTCACAAAGAAGTAAAATTTACAAAAAATAGGCTTATAACTATTGCTCAAAAATCAATTTATGTTGAGGAATATAAAATAATATCTGACAAAAGTTCTCTTAAAACCTTAAACCCATTCATCGATTCAGCGGGAAATATGCGAGTTCATGGTCGTTTATCAGAGTCTTCCTTGCCATAGAATGAGCGATTCCCAATAATCTTACCCGGCAATTCTCGACTTTGCCATCTCTACTTAACTGATCTGCATTTAATTCTGGTCCACGCAGAATGTAATCAAATGTGCAGAATGATTCAAATTGAGTTTTATATATCTCGTTTTAAACCCCGAGTTAAGAAAATAATTCGCAAATGCAAAAGTTGCATTATATACAAACAAAATTGCGCACAAATAATGGCTCCTCTACCTTCCCAAAGATGTATTCTTTCGGTGCCTTTCCAAACCACGGGAATAGATTTCGCGGGTCCCTTTGAGCTCAAAACCTCTAATGTACGAAACGCTCCCTACACTGAAAATAATCCATGCTGAAAATAAAATTTCGTAACTACTTTTTTCGTAATATATACGAAAATTTCCTGTATAATACGAAATTTTGTTAAGACATGTAATATTTAACGAAAATAACGAATTTTTTTCGTAACAAAATTAATTAGTAATATACAAGAATTATTTTTGATTTCACAAAAAAATTATTTTGTTACGACTTTTTTTTTGTTTTTTTTTTTTCGTAATTTTAAGCGAGTTAAATTAAACGTAATTTTAAATTTACAGGAAATTAGCTGCCTAATTTCCTGTAAAATTTTTTATTTTTTTTTAAAAAACATAAAAATTTGTTTTTTTAATTCGCAATATTTTTCTAAATTTACAATAATTATTTTAAAAGAACATAACATGGATTATTTTCAGTGTATACAAAAGGATACGTTAGTGTTTTTGTATGATTCAGCACAAAAAAATGTAATCTAGCACCTACCACTTTTTTAGCATTTTTCAAATGTGTTTTTGCCAATTTTAATTGTTCTTCTGTAAAAATATGGTTAAAAATTAATTATTAATTAATTATGTACAACATAAAAATTAATGTTTACTGGTTATCTGTAGAAATATCGGTTCGTATTTGATGAGCTTAAGTTACATTTTAACCCTTTCAGGGTCAAAAATAATTTATGTCTAGAAAAAACCTTGAAAACTTATATTTATATTTAGATAATTTGAGTATGCTGAATCCGGGAAAAATAATATTTTTTGAATTTGAGTTTTCCCTAGAGAGTTATAGAAGGTCAAAGTTAAATGTCGAATATATTCGACATTCGAAAAACAGTCTCCAAAAAGTACCACCAATATTTTTTATGAATTTTTTTTGTAAAATGTCTTCTTAAACTTCTTTCAATACAATACAATTTGAATCTGCATAGTCCGATCTCCTAAAATACAATTTTTTTGGCCATTAAATGAAGCTGTTTTTTAAACGTTGTTAAAAAGCACTTGTCATAAGTGACAATTTCTTAAAATATGATTTTCTCAATTTCAAATATATTCACAACCAAAAATTTTTGCGTTACGCATCAACAAACTCGTTTAATGGAACGTTTCTGGAACTAGTTCTTTAATCAATGATTTAAGTTCGAGTTTGCTATCGTCAGATATAGTTCTATAGAAGCTTTAGAGAACATAGATCTTTTTCCAGCGATTTATGATTCAAATTGTTGAGATTGAGATCAATTTTTGGAAACCGTCAATAATAATTAAAATTTCTTACAATAAATTCCATATATTTTTCTACTGGTTTGAAGTAGTTGTTTTTAAAATCTGGACTATGTAAATATTTGTAACAATGGAAATATTGAAAGAAATGATTTCATCGGAACTTTTTAATCACAACATTTTTCGACAGAACAGTCTCGAGAATTAATGGCGATATTATTAGTTGCAATGTCGCGGTTCCAGAATCTGGTTGTTTACTTCCGATCTAAAAAATTCAAAAAAAAATATTGAATAAGCATTTCTAATTCCGTATTAAAATCATCCCATAATAAATGGATTTGGTACGTTTGTGTATTAAGGTAAACCCATTATTTATAAAAATACCAAAAAATAAAGCTATTTTAAATTCTACTGCTCCAACAACTAAGATAATCGCAGAAGCGATTAAATCGTTGGCTGTTGTACTTTGCTACTTGGGTTAACAAAGGTTGTATTACTACAAGGGCGGCGCCATGTTCAAACTCAGTTTGAACAAAAAGCGTATACATATTTATGTTTTTGAAGTTATATTATTTTTGAATTTAAAAAAGTAATTTTTTATCTAATGTAACCTATGTAATTTACATATGTACAAATATTATTGTGAATTATTAACCTATATCGTAAGCTATTGTGAATTTATTAATATATATGAACCCGGAGATGTATAAAAATACAAGGGTAGCGTTTTTCCGGCCTTTTACATCGCAACCACTATCGGGTTAACTCTAGAATTATTTTAATCCAATAAAATTCTTGAAATCCTAAACTTATCTTTGTTGCCTTTGTGCAACTTTGGCTTTCCCTAAATACAAATTTCAACCTAATAATTTATAAACGTAGAAATTATAATCTGAATTATTCAAAGATTTTTATTGTAGGGTCACCCACTTAAACCAACAATAAGTTAATTTTTAAAACTTTTTCAGCACTATTTTTAGGCAATTTGGAACCAAATGATAGCCAAAATCATTTTATTTTCCTTTTTCATAGTGTATATGTATGTTAAATATAATGCTATATTAGATATATATATTAGGGTGGGTCGAAAATAGGCTTTTCTCTCGGATCAACTTCTAATAGTGAAATTATGTTGTATTTTATCGCCAAATGGTAGACTGTAAAATATTATTGAATTATTTTAAGGGTAAGAGCCCGCGCATCGCCGACAAAGTTTGTAAATGCGTTTATATGGGAAAAATGACACTTTTTGGAGTTTTTTCACAAAATGAGGCTTTACCCAGGAAAAACTTACATTGAAAAGTAATGAGTTAAATAGCTAATAAAACCTCTTTTCACTACTTCTTCATTAGCATTTTAAGTCATTATTTTAACACGGTGATGTCATTGGAGGCAAGTACTTCTACGCAGGCTTACAAATAGGGACTTAAAGAAGTACTTGCAATTTTCCTTACAAAACAGTTGTTGAGTAAGTTGTTTTGTTTTTTAATAATAAAAAGAGCCAGCTAGAATACGAACCAGGGGCTTCGGTTTGTTAGTCAAATGTTCTACACACTGCACCACTGCTTAGCTATTTTATTGCGCGTCAAATAATGGTTTTCACAAACAAAACTAATTTTGTTTTATTTTTTTAAAACACAATTCTTAAAACGCAATTAAATAAAATGTGCAAACAAAATGACAAAGCCGAAAATAAAGTACTTCTATATCAGATTATAAGAAAGTCATTACTAGAGTACTTCTATGTAATGCAGACGGTAAGTAGTAGTCATTGAAAAGTAAGTGGTTATGGAAGTACAACCCATTACCGAGTTTTTGCTGGGTTAAGTACTAATTATTGCACCATTTTATAGCAAAGTCGTAATGTCTACAAAATTGTCTTTCCAAAAAGATGGAAAAACTCAAAATTGGTTAAAAAAGTTTTGAGTTATTAAAATTTCCCCCGAGAATTTTGTGATTCTGAAGACATATAAAAGTAAATATAAGAAAATTTTTGTTAGTTTTGAAAAATTTTACAAAAAAATATTATGTTTATCTTTATAAGGTTCATAAATGTGCTAGTACGAATTTTTGTTCAAATTGGATAACGCTTACTCGGTTTAGTCTGTGGTCAAAAAAGGGCCATTATTTTAACAGCACCTCCAAAACTCCATTTTCAAACTTTAAAAAATTTTGTTAAATGGATTACTAAATGTTAAAGATTTCTATACTGGATATTATAAAGGATATATATAAGAATTAAACACAGAAAGAATGAGCTTAATACCTCTCATAGTTTTACCGTACCTGCGATGTGAATTTGAAGGATTTCGGGAAAAAGACAATTTTTGCCAATAATTAAGTAAAAATTATATTATTACCAATTGTTGCTTAATTTTGATCAAATAAATTGCGATTATTATTTCCGAGTCCATGGAAAGTTAGTTCTGATCAAATTTCCGAAACTAAAAATCATTAACCCTCTAAACACCGGGGTCAAAATTAAAGTGTTTTTGTAGTGTTTAAAAAAATCGGTCTTGAATTGACCCCAAGTATGACAGAGGGTTAATTTTTGAAGAAGTTTGATTCCTAGATTTCTGGATATATTTTCGTGTAATTGGTCAAAATGAATTCATAATAAAATACACAATATTTCGCTATTTTTAATGAAGAATATTAAATATACAAAAACTTGATTTTGACCCCGGTTTTTAGAGGGTTAATGATTTTTAATTTCGGAAATTTTATCAAAAAAACCTTTTCATGGACTCGGAAATAATAATCGCAATTTAATTGATCAAAATTAAGCAACAATTGATAATAATATAATTTTTACTTAATTAATGGCAAAAGCTGTCTTTTTCCCGAAATCCTTTAATTTCACATCGCAGGTACGATAAAACTATGTGTTTAATTCTTATATATATCCTTTGTAATATCCAGTATAGAAAACTTTAATTTTTAAAAATACATTTAACAAAATTTTTTAAAGTTTGAAAATGGAGTTTTGGAGATGCTGCTAAAATAATGGCCCTTTTTCGACCACAGACTAAACCAAGTAAGCGTTATCCAATTTGAACAAAAATTCGTACTAGCATATTTATGAATCTTATAAAGATAAACAAAATATTTGTTTGTAAAATTTTTCAAAACTAAAACAAATTTTCTTATATTTACTTTTATATGACTTCAGAATCACAAAATTCTCGGGGGAAATTTTAATAACTCAACCTTTTTTTAACCAATTTTGAGTTTTTCCATCTTTTTGGAAAGACAATTTTGCAGATATTACGATTTTGCTATAAAATTGTGCAATAATTAATACTTAAAGCCTCATTTTGTAAAAAACTCCAAAAAGTGTAATTTTTCCCATATAAACGCATTTACAAAATTTGGCGGCGATGCGCGGGCTCTTACCCTCAAAATAATTGAAAAATATTTTACAGTCTTCCATTTGACGTTAAAAGACAACATAATTTCACTATTACAAGTTGATCCGAGCGAAAAGCCTATTTCCGACCCACCCAAATATATATATATATATACATATATACTAGCTAAAACCCGGCGTGCTTTGCTACTCCTGTCGATATAAAATAAAAAATTTTCAAAATATATTGATGTACATTTTTTGTTTATAAAAATTTTATTAATATTTGTTTGTCACTATCCAAAACCATAAAGTAATAAGACAAGGAAAGTTTGATATTTAAAGTAATTTATTAATTAATGATATTTATGTACATATATTATTTCTTATTCCTATTCATTAGCATAATTTTACAAAATATTACAAAATTACTAAAATTTAATTGACTTAATATTTACAATTAAAATTTTTCTTAATAATTATTTCCTATTCTAAAGCCTTGGGATATACAATATTTTTGGATTTCCCCTCAGGCGCGTAGGTATACAAATCAGAAGGTTTCTCAACTCGCGAGCATGCAACATAAAGCTGACCATGTGTGAAGCATGGATTTTCGAGATTTATTCCACACACTTGCAGGGATTGACCCTGAAATTTGTTTATTGTCATCGCGAATGCCAAACGTGTAGGAAATTGCAACCGTTTAAAGTCGAATGGCATTTCCGATGTTGTCATTGAGATCCTTTATATTGGCCAGTTGTAATCGTTGCTTCGATTAAGTTGTTCATTAATTTTTTAACTGTTAATCGAGTAGCATTACAAAGACGTGGTGGATCAATATTTCGCAATAAAATAATTGGAACGCCAATTTTCAACTTCAATTCGTGGGGATACATTGACGACATCATCATTATTTGTAACAGTATCGATGGATTTATATGTTTTTAAATTACCATCGATTCTATTCAAAATAATATTATTGATACAATTAACGTCAATGTTTTTGGGTGCCAGTAAAGCACGCTCACATAACCACTGCCTATTTTTGAAATTACGTTGAAGATTTGGAAAAACACAATATATTAACTCTTTCTTTGATTGTGTGATCCTACTTTACACAATTTGTGGTTGGCTCAATTGTCATTTTTCCATTTCCTAAATCCAGCAATTGTTTTGTTGTTAATTTTAACGTGTGAACATGTTGCCAGAGATATGATGATTTTAGGCAAGCATTGAGTTCATCAGTCGGTGTTGAACCAGGTATCACAGGAAGTGTCTGGCGAAAATCACCCGCTAAAAGAATTAATGCACCTTCAAATAAATTAGAATTACTTCTCATGTCCTTTAAAGTGCGATCAAGCGTTTCTAAGGATTTTTTGTGGGCCATGGTGCATTTATTCCACACTATTATTTTATATGTTTGCAGGATTTTACCCATTGAAGAATTTTCTTAACATTACATGTATAATCTTCAGAAAATTGTGTTTTCAACGGTAATTTGAGTGCATAATCTAAAAGTGTTGCTGCAATACCTGATGACGCAATGGCTACGGCAATATTCTTTTGTGATCAAACTTTAGCTAAAATTAATGAGATGAGAAAGGTTTCTCCGAAATAAAATGAAATAAATGAAATAAAATCCTCCTTGTAAGAATAATTATTAATAAATAATATATGTACATAATATCATTAATTAATAAAATACTTTAAATATTAAACTTTCTTTGTCTTATTACTTTATGGTTTTGGATAGTGACAAACAAATATTAATAAAATTTTTATAAACAAAAAATGCATATCAATATATTTTGAAAATTTTTTATTTTATATCGACAGGAGTAGCAAAGCACGCCGGGTTTTAGCTAGTTTCAACATAAAAAGTAGCCTATAGTTCCTTCCAGACATACAGGAAGAAA